TCGTTTTAAAACCGCGAGAAAGTCAGCCAGCAACGGTTCTACAAAGTTGTAGCTTATATATCTTTACAATTCACATGCAAAATTTCATGCATGCAAAAAACTGTGAAATTGCACATAGCCTTAAGGTCAAGCTACATGGGACACTTTTTCGGTTTTTGATTTTTCGGTTTTTCGCTTTTTCGGTTCGATTTATCGCTTTTTCGCGTCGGTTTTTCGCTTTTTCGATTTATCGCTTCGTGACTTGAGTTTTTCGAGTTTCGCTGATTTTTGTTTAGTTGGAACGCGCTGTGCAACCGCCAGCTCTTCTTATTTTGTTTGCAACCAGTGCAATGCTTTGGTCGCAGTTTTGCCTAGGGGCTTTAGGGGTTTGTTTTGTTGTCTGTTTTAACAGATGGAAATTACTTAAACTAGATCTCGTCTGTTTTGTAGTAGGAAACTGGCTTGACTAAACTTCCAGCAGCTCAGCTACTAACCGGCGCCCCGCTGGGACTCCTGGATTTCCACGCCCTGCTGGAAGGGGGAACATCCCTTCTAACTTGGCTCCTGAGCCACGTAGCGAGTAGCGACACGCCGTAGGTGACACTTGAAAGAGCTAAAAAATAAGGAACAAACTGCTTCTGCCATTTTTAGGTCAGGTTTAGGCCAAAGGGCAGGTCACCAAAGGTCATCGAAGGTAAAATGTCGCCAATATCTATAGGTCAAACTTCGACAATTTTCGACAAATCGGTCCATAGCTCAGGAATGGATATAGAGCTGTAGCGCCGCGGAGAGGCGCAATCAAACGTTCTTTTAACGTTCTTTCGCTAGCATGACCTCAGATTTGACGTAAGGTCCACCGTTTATCCTGCAGGGGCATAAGTGTCCAAAATATACGATTCTGCAAAAACAGTTTTTTCCGCAATAACTTTTGACTCTAAACTTGCACGAGCTTTCCTTCACCAGAAACGTGTTTCTCTGGTCGAGACGCATCGAATGAACCTTAAGCTAACTGGACTGGTCTAGGTCATGACCTGGCCGGAAAGTTCGTGATGCATATCAGTCGATTTGTATCGTCCAGTGGAACACATCAAATGTGTTTTCATCGCTCTATAGTAGCATGCATTTATCGAAATTTATTACCGAAAATTGTGCATACCTTTCGCGACCTGATATGACCTCAGGGCATAACAAGGGGTCACGGGTGCCATATTCCGGTTCATTGTGTCATGTGTACCTACTTGCATAGGCGTAGGAACAGCTGGAACATTCTGGGTGCAGAAATACATCCAACCATCGCCCGTGGAGCGGGGGGGGGGGTTAGGGAGCAGCACCGGGTGGGGGGCTCATTTTGATCTTCGAGGGGTGTACTGTACGACGTCGAAAGGGTATCGGAGCATTGAATTTTGAAGTTTTGATAATGTCAATAATTCACGCAGTACAAGCGGCCTATTCGGGCCTGTTTTCAAGATACCGAGCTAAAACTTTCTAGAGTGGGTCATGTGTATGTGTTCTATCACATGTGTTCCGTTTCTTTTTTCACCTGAGTCCAAATATATATGTAATATGTATATATATATATATATATATATATATATATATATATATATATATATATATATATATATATATATATATATATATATATATATATATATATATATATATATATATATATATATATATATATATATATATATATATATATATATATATATATATATATATATATATGTTACAGGCAATGTGTGGAATCAGGCATTCTATAGAATGCCTAGGCATTCTATAGAATACCTGACCGACCAGGCATTCTATAGAATCCCTAGGCATTCTATAGAATCCCTGACTGCTTAGGCATTCTATAGAATGCCTGGCTTAAGCTCCCAGGCATTCTATAGAATGCCCAAGTATTCTGATTGTCCCAAACAGCACTCCAAAATTCTTTGTTGAATTAGGCCGGTCGTCGCCTGAAACCATTTCAGGGCAATGAGATATATGAGAGGAAGCGAGGGAGAAATTGGGCTATGCCAGCCACCAAATGGTGCGCCGCAAGCAGCAACTGATCCAATCCCGTTGGCACGGGAGAGCCACGGCGCAAGGGACAGGCCAACCAGTCGCTCAAACGGTTACCCTCGGAGGGCTAGTGGATTGTTGGCTGGGCGGGTGAACCGTAAGCTAGAATCGAAAGTGCTTACAAATTACGATGGGTTTGTTTTCTGATGCTAGAAATGACGGTGAGGAATATAACAAAAAAGCACCATCTTACATCGTCATAAGCACTTCGTGTAACTACTCTAAATATACATATGGGCAGCTAAGCTTAACCTACACTGCAATGTCAGGGAATAAATTGAATAAATGGTTCATTATTCGACGCCCGGGCGGTGGCCCGGTCGTAACAAGAGCCGGATTAGGTGTCGTTCGATGTCCCCTTCCAACTTGACTTCTGAGCCTTGCGGTGTTCGAACGGTCGTCAAAATAATGAAATTGGACTCCAGCAATGCTTTGGTAATGTTCCTAAGGATGCCAAATCTAAAACAACTATGTAGTTAAGCCATTTTTAGGTCATTGGCCATTTTTGACTCGAAACTGCATTTTCTCCAGTTTGGCCGTAAATCGATGCTATGTCTTCCAGGGGGCAAATCCTCCAAAAATGGACGCTTTGCAAACTTTTTTCTTCGCGGAATTTTGACCAAATGCGTTTCCGATAATGACATCAACACCATCGCCTTTCTAGCGTCGAGACGAATACTCAGTACTCTCCGAATGAAAGCCTAAAAGATGATCTACAGTTTGACCTAATAAGGTTAGATTGAATACCTGACATGAAAAATTGACTGAATGAACATTTAACATAGCTGACCGCAAGGTAGCCTGGCAGAAATAATAACGTTGCATATCGGTTCGCACTCATAATCTTATACAGCCTTCACTCATTTGTTGGTAAGATACGTATATTTCCCAGGCATTCTATAGAATGCCTGAAAAATCAGGCATTCTATAGAATGCCTAGGGATTCTATAGAATCCCTGGTGGGTCAGGCATTCTATAGAATACCTAGGGATTCTATAGAATGCCTGGTCGGTCAGGCATTCTATAGAATGCCTAGGCATTCTATAGAATGCCTGATTCCACACATTGCCTGTAACATATATATATATATATATATATATATATATATATATATATATATATATATATATATATATATATATATATATATCTCATACTGCATGTGAAGTAGCGTTGATGCGAAAAGGGGTTTTTGCTTCAGATTATTGTGGGTGCAGAATGCACTGTCGGCACCTATTCGATAATTATTGTGGGTGCAGCTGCAGCTGCATCCACTGCACCCATGGTTCCTATACGCTTCTGTGTACTTGTAACCTGAGAGTGTTTAGAATGACGTTCGTTAAAAAACGCCTTTCAATTTTCAGTTTCTAGGCAATTGGGGTGGGGGGCGGAAAATTGACGTGGCCTTGGGCTACCGATATCGAAATTATGTGATATACATTTTGTGCATACTGCTACTCTCTTGAATTGTGAAAGTTCCAAAGCCATCCGTTACCTGGTGTAGCAATGATAAGCATTGGAACATTTTCTGAATTGGTCACACTGACCACCTCACCAGGTTACCTGACCTGGTGACCTGACCTTGAGAGACCTTGGTCCTGAAATTTTCATAGCATGTGTAAAAAAGGTGCTTGATAAGGTGTGACAAAAACAGTGGCGCGAAACGTCACCTTTTTTGAGATATTAGCGAAAATCTGCAGGTGGTGTTCTAACACCGCTCCCCTAGCGGGGCGCGGCTATGAAGCATGATGAACAGATTTTACAAAAGATCATAAGATGAAATAAATACGTGCATATATCTCGCATAATTAACTGCTATTCAATCCTTTCGCGTGGAAAATATGTGCATATCGACACTGAAATACTATTGAGCGATTACACTCCTTCCTTTCCATTAGGAGTACCGAAATATGAATCGTTGGAAACATGCATCAGTATCACCACATCGTCACGTGCTGAAGCCGAAAAACTGATTGTCGATCCAAACTTTTGGGTTGGACGAGTCGCTTCGCTTTTTCGCTTTTTCGCTTTTTAGAGTCGCTTTTTCGCTTTTTAGAGTCGTTTTTTTCGTTTTTTCGCGTCGCTTTTTCGAGTTGCTGATTTCGTTTTTCGGTTTCGCTGCCGTGGAGCTACACCAATGTTATCAAGTGAAGCTGATCGTCTACTGAAGCCGAAAAAGCGAAAAAAACGAAACGAAAAACCGAAAAAGTGTGCCGTGGAGCCTGTACTTAAGGCATGCCTAAAGCAATAGCCGTGATTATAATGGCGAATTTGTGGAGCATTACCTAGTTTTTGATCGATAATAAAAAGTGGCATTGACTTTTAAATTGCATTACAGCAAAAACTAGGCAACTGTTGCATTTTAAAGGGACCCTCCCACCTTCAAAAAAGTTAATAAATTGGCATGAAAGTGATGTCGCTCGGTTCAGAAAGAGCAAAAACGAATATCTACCAAATTTCATCGAAAAATATTCACCGGTTTTCAAGATATTAGACTTTTACTTTTGTTTACTTTTTGGGATCTCCGCTGTTCCTAGCGACTTTATTTGAAAGTGCGGCATTTGTTGCGCGCAAAGCAGCATATACCACCGCGTGCTACAAAACGTTTTAGTCAAACATTTAACGGACGTTCGAAAGCCTGATGACGTCATCAGATTCCCGTAATGGTCAAGAGATAGGGACCACGCTGGTCCCACCCTGCAAGTAAAGGGAAGAAATTTCTTGAACACCATAAAGCTGCGGGGGTTGCGACCAGGATAAATGGTGGTTTCTGAGCCTGGCCGCAAACTTGGCTATCTCAACTCAAAACTAATGTTAAGGTGGGAGGGTCCCTTTAAGCAAAGATATGGTGATGATCTTAATACTATTGAGGTGTAAACATACCACGACGAAATGTTAATATAATCCGATGAAACAGCACCCGATGAAGGAGAAAAGCGATCCGAACTAACCTTGTGCTGAGCCGTCCTCTGCCGACGCCGATGGAGCTAACACGTCGCCGACTGAAATACAAACAGCGCTGGTGAGATTATGGAAGAAACAGCTGAATTTCTATAAACGGCTGGGCAACTTTTTGTCATTCGGCCAGATACGGAAAAACTCATTCCAACCGTTGCTGCTTTATCAGTTTTATATGAGAAGTGAAACATTGAGGAAATAAAAACGACAAAATATTGAACAGATTAAGGGTATTCGTTTTGTAGTGAAAATTTGTCATTATTCTACTCACCTCTGTCGGAAAGTCCGGAGAGAAGCCCGCTCATATCGTGGGAGCTCGCCGAGTGGTCTGACCCATCGAACTGGGACGCCTCAAACGTCGACACCTGGCCCAGTGTGGCCTCTAAACTAACGTCATCGTCATCGTCCGCAATGTCTATTTTCTCCACTTTGATGCCATAGTCCTGTCGGCCGGCCGCCGGCTGGGGCGGCGGCGGAGGTTCGTGCTGCGGCGGGGGCGGCTCCGCCAAAGCCGCGCCCGACACGGGCGGCGGTGGTGGCGGTAGGGCGGCGCACGGCGGTCCGGCCATCACGTCCGCGGCCGGGTCGCGCGGCCCCGCGGCGGCTGCTGGCGGCGGCGGGGCGGCGCTCACCGCTGACGGAGAGCCCGGCCGGCTGCCCGAGGAGCCAGAGAGCCGGCGCCGCTTGAGCCGCGGCGAGGCGGGCGGCTCGGCCGACTCGCGGGGCCGCTGGCGCACCGGCGGCGGCGGCGGCGGCGGGCCGGACGGTAAGCGGGACCGGTCCGGCGGCTGAGACCTGGGTGCCTGGGAAGGAAACAAAATAGTGTGTATAAGAGACAAGAAATCACCACTATCAACCATAGAAATAACAGCATTGCTTTGCAAGAGGAAGTATAGTTTCTCTAAACAGATTATGTCAGCAAGTTCAAAACAAACAATGATGATGATGAGCCATGAGTTCATTGGCTTCTCCTTCAATGTACACATGACTATATGCACTCCAAGACTTCAACACTTGCAAATAAATACACCATCACCTGTTAACTGCATTGGTAGGTAGAATGTTAAAATATCAGAACAGCAGGCAATACACACCTGGTCTTCCTCTTCATCCCCTGAGAGTCCTTTGACCTGGAGCAGCTCTGCTGTCTTCAGGAAACTTGCCAACTGACTTTGGAGCACATTCACTTCTCCTTTGTACACAAACTCTATCACAGCTGCAATGTCTACATATGAAGTGTCCTTCAAGAAGAACAGGGGGTGTTGGCATGGATTGTCCTGGAAACAGGGAGAACATGGTCATGAGTGAATATCAAAATACTCATAAAGAACAATCATAGCCTAATAAGGCAAGTCCAAACAACTATTAGCAAAGTACAAGGTAAGAAGTGAATTGCACCAGATGCAAACAAGGTTACCGATCCTTGCCACCTGACAGAATCAACAAAAACAGCCTCATCTTACCTTGAAGAGATCCCTGAAATAAGGACTGCATGCTGACAGCATCATCCTGTGCGCCTTTATCTTTCTCCCCTCACAGCACAATGTAATGTCCACCAGTTCTTCATCTTGCCGCAGGCTGTCAAACACTGAGGTTACACTGTTCTGGAAGTTGTTCCACTTCAGGCAAAATTTTTGTGAGGCAGCCATAGTATCTGAAACAAAAGACCAGTCTCAGGGAATATTCTGATATAGTACCTACTAAGTAAAATGAAAAAATATGTATGCCTATCTTCAAGTTTCAACAAGGAAACTTGAAATTGATACGAAATATGACTAGCATAGCTTGTGTTGACAAAAATCAGTGGATTCAACCAGAATGGAAATGGAAAATATGTTTCATTATTCAGCATTGGCATTGCATTGATAAGAACTGCATTTCAATTCCAAACTTCTACCTACCTATAACCTATGCGATTGTGATGCATAATACCAATCTAATAACAATTTTTATTTACATTCCCCACAGCACACGCCACACATACACCAACGAGACGGTCAACAAAAAAATAATATATATAGCGCACCTGCAGAACGGCCAGCGCGACCGGCGTCTCTTGCTTTTTCCGCCGCTTCCGCCTTGCTTTTCCGGCTTTTCCCTTACTTTTTCCGCTTTTTCCTCTGGCCTTTTCCCGTTTTTTTCCGCAATGCTGTTCGGATACAGCGATACAGCTATCAAAAAAGCTTTTTCAAAATCACGCTAGGTGGCAAGGTGGGAATGAACCAATGAGGCTTCAGACCGCCACACTCACGACCAATGAGTGACTGAATAGCACAACCAAGTGATTGCCGGGAAACGCATACGGAATAGATGAACAGGCCGAGGAACGCTAGCGCCATAGTTGTCTCAGAGCGTTCAGAAATCGGAAAATGTTCGGAAAGGCGTAACTAAATTTAAAAAAGCTTACGAAATTATGAACAGTGCTGCCAGATTTGGAGGATTTCCGCAAATCTGGAGGATTTTGAACTCTATTTGCGGACAAATTTCGCGTTTGGAGGATTTTTGATTCTGGAGGAAAATCTGGAGGATTTGTCACCCGATTAATATATTCAATTTCATGGAAAAATACAACGCGTTCAAGACTCAAAAGACATTTTCCTGCCCAGCTTCACCCTACCCGTTAGGATATATCACTGCCCTTTATCACCGTGAGACTGGAATGTCTCAGTCTGTAGCTATATCCACGAATATCATGGTGACTATTTGTTCCTATTTCGTGTACGATTGTACCATATGTTTTTGAAGGTACCGAACTACTGGCGGATCAAAGGGGGACATTTGGCGCAAATTCCCCCCCCCCCCCCCCTCCTGCAGCGTCCAAAATCGAAGAAAATTTTCGTTTTTTTTCAAGGATAAAACGAAAACTAAACAACTTTTATTATAAAAAAGCATCTTTTAAACTACACAGCAGTGCGAAAGGAATCGAAATCCGATGAGTTTTTAGAATTTGGAGAAACCTTTTCGGAGATATGCCCTCCCGCAGCGTCCAAGACCGCCTATCTGGATCCGCCAATGGGATTTGGAGGAATCTGGAGGATTTTTGTAACTGATCTGGAGGATTACAGCCTTCTCCATCTGGCAGCACTGATTATGAAAGACAATAATCAAAAACTCAGCTGAGGATGGTTGAAATTGTTGTACAACTAATGAAGCCATAAATAAGACCTATTTAATAGATTTCGTCCTGTTTAATCCTCAACAGAACTTAGATTTTTAAGCATTCTTCTCCATTTCGGTGGCCTTGGCTGCTTGCTTGTGTTTGTGTTTTGGTTTGTGTTTGTGTATTGGGAAAATGGAAAGTGCGGATGGGGGCGGTCCGGCGTGGTTTCTTCTCGGCTCAGTCTCACTGTGTGTGTGTGTGTGTTTTTTTTTTGTTGTTGGTTGACGTGATGTATGAATTGTGGGAGAAAAAATGGTGTTGTTACCAATCAGTGCGAATTGAGCTCATTGTCATGCACCCAGCAAGGTCTGTACTGGTGGGCGGTAACTGGACTGTTTTTATGAAGGAGTCACAATTTCCATTAAAAAATCACTATGAAGTGACTTTTTTCTGTTATTGTTATCAGCCACTTAGGTTCAGGTTTCTTACCTAGTTCAATACCAGAAAGCAACAGATTCAGATTGCTACCTTATTCAAATTCTTTAGATTGATATGCTGCGCTAGGATGCCAAGCCTCTGTGGACTGTGCCTGGCACCAGATTTTAAATCTCTGTACCAGATTTTACTGTGGATTTAAATCTGGCAGTGGTAGGTATGCAGTTGTGCACTGGGAGTGGGACCTATGATCCAATCATGGCAAGATGAATCCTCATAGCAGAGCTGGTCACTGGAATTGTCAGGATCATTGACATTCTGGGTGTCCTAAATCTCCAAATCATTATTGTCATAAATCTGCTGAAGCCATATATATTTTCTATTTTTATTTGTCCAGAGTTATGGGTCCATACTGAGCATTGGTTTCATCAAGAAGCACAGTGACTTGATTTCCTATTGAATATGCTTATTTTTCCAGACTGGACTACTTGAGTGTTGACATGTTCCAGGCACAATTCATGGTGTGCAGAATTGCAGTTGTTTTACTTATGATTAAATACATATAAAGCTATCTTGAATCATAAATGGTAATTCATAAAGCTTCTCTAATTGTTTGAATCATGAATGCCACTATTTGACCATGCATTTGTTAAAAATGCATGCCAATGGAATGATAAATTTACCATTGATTGGCTGATTTGGCCCACATGCTTCATTTTGCAGCCTTTTTTTCAAATTATTTAAATACCCAACCTATGGACAGGAGTTTTTGACTGATGGTTAGTACTTGTTTCGGTTTTGCAGTTAAAGTCAGTGAGCTGCTTTGATCCTTATTCAGCCGGCACCCTCTGAGGGACCTCCCGCCGTGTCGGCCCGCCGCCTGGCGGCCAGTCGGCGAACTAGTCCGTCCGGCGAGTCGGCGCCGGCCGGCCGTCGACCGAGCCAGACGCCAGTCGTCGGTTTGGATGACCGGTGTGGGTGCGGACGCTGTGGGCGCGGAGACTGTACAGCGAAATGCCAGTGGCGCGCGCCTGACGCTCTCAGCAGTGCGCGGTGAGACAGTGCGGTGCTCGCAGAGTGAGGGACGCTCTCCAGTCTCCACCAGCGCGACTGGTGACGGGAAGTGTGAGTGTGCGTGCGGCGATGGGAGATGAACTGTTCCTGCGCTCCCGGTGCTCGGGAGGCGCCGGCTGCCACTGCGCCGGAATGGAGCATTTCTACGTACCGGACTCCACGGACCGCACGCCGCCGACCAGGTGAGTGAAAACGGGTGGAGTGCATGACTAAACGCGGGTTACAACAGCGACAGTGTTTGGGGTTAGGTTCGATTCGGATGCGGAAAAGTTAACCTTTCAAACTATGTCTCGGATTGAGGGGCTCGCTCATGTGGCCCAGCCTGGTTTGGGTGGGAGTAACCGCCGTCATGTTAGGCTGGAAGAGAACGTGTCATGAGCCATTAAACCGTTATGTGGTTTGTAAATTCCTATTGATTTCTACTGGTATTGGTCTTACATGCCAAGGTCAGACTGACTGCGACTGGAGTTGGCACTTTGATTCGAGCTCAAGCATTATGCGTCTACATTTTACATACTTGTATCAAACCTGTCTCATAATGTCTTATTTTTAAAACTTGCGTATAGCTATATCAATTATCATCTGCCCTGCACCGCAGCCTGTAATCCGGATTATATCGGACTCATGACGTCACTCTATTAACGTCACCGCCGGTCCGCTTATCTCTCCTCCGTTGGGAACGATCGCCTAGCGTGCGTCACGTCCAGTCCGCTCGGGCTCTATCATCCGTTTCAGTTTCCAGATGATGTCTCTACTCATGGCACTGTGACGTGTTCGGCGTCAACATCCTGAAAAAACATATTTAAACGGATTTTATGTTGTACCCTCGAAATTTGCCTTTTCCAAATTATAGCGTTGCGTTGTTGGTCGAGACTGACGATGCCCCAAGACTGGTATACCATCGGGAGCGCGTGTTACACTACCGACGGCAGCTCCAGTCCAAACCCCCGTCGCTCTCTTTGGGTAGAGCGGGGAGGCTGGGGTGAGTCAGCCGGTGGTGTGTGTCACTCAGAGCCTCCTCTGAAACTCTGGACATAGTACACCGTGCAGCGGCGCGGATGCTGACTGAGGCGGCGGTACTGTGCAATGCACGGTGTGCCGTGCCCGTGTACGATGCAATGTGTGCAGTTTGCTGGACAGCACAACGCTCCGCGTACAGGCTGGGGGCACTGGACACTGGACAGAGTGGACCGAATTGGTCCTTTTAGTATGCTGTAAACGAGAGCCGGGTAAGGCTGTTTGCCGAACTATTCAGGTCGACTTTTGAAATATATTGACGTCCTTTTTCATTTTAGTAGATACGGGCACCATCGTTGTGCCGCTGGACTGTATTCTATTGTTAAGTCCGGCTCAAGTTTTACTTAGATCTTTTTTATTTGAACGCTTATGAGCATATACGAGTAGCTCTTGACATCTTTCTCCGGTCAAAGTCCATTGATTTTGCCTTTTGGTGTTGTCGATAGCGCATCACAGCTACGAGTAAATATGTTTACCACAGCTGTGCGGCGCACTTCACAGGTCGACACCCTTGAAGTACCCGCAATAACGCTGGTCGTTATCTGATGGACAGATAAAGAAAGCAGCTGGCTGTTTGACACGTTTGGCAAACAAATTTTATCGCTTATCTCGCATCTCTGCTCCGTTCAAAGGACATTCTTTATCTGCCGCCTCCGCTGGCTGTGTTTCCACGGTTGCTAAAGTTTTGTTGCATACGTTTGTTTCATCTTGCCGCTCCAGTGCTTCAACAGTCCATCCTTACTGTGCGTTCAATGACCCTGTCCCATCCAGTGACTCGCGAGTGATGACCTGTGACCTGTTACCTCTGACCTGCCCAGTCAGTCGCGCCGGAGGGGAGGGTCGTTTTTAGACACCCCGCAGCGTGAGGCACGGCCGGTTCTTTGAGCGTCTGATGAGGCGCCCCTCCCTCCCAGGGCGGCCTGTTAACGATTAGACTCGGACGTCCGCCTCACACTGCCCTGTGAACGCGGACAATAGCCGGAGATGGAGCGGCGTCCTCGGTCAGTGCAGTCAAATGTTCGTTAACGGGCTAGCGCCGGACAGCGGCGAGACGGTCCTCCGAATAGCCGCGCCGCCGCCCGGGGCGGCCCCGCCGGCGGCGCGGCCCTCTCGGACGGGACGGGAGGGGACGGGAGACGCTTCCCCAGTGCGTGGGCGCTCGGCGCGCGCGGCGGAGGCGCGCTCCCGCGCGCCGAGAGGAGCGTCCGTCGGGTTCGATTTTTTTTTTCTTTCTTTTTCAGCTCGTCGACCGTCCCTCTCACATCGCGTAAGGAATGGAGGAATGGACATAACGTGAGAGGGACGGCCGGCCGATCATCAGCCAATGTAACGTTCGAGCAGAGTCTGTGCGGCGCTATAGTTAACGGAAGATAACGTTGTTA